CTGTTCTGTTTCRACAATCACACAGAGGAATAACTTCTCCGCTGCTTTCTTACTGTAATTGCTTGCTGCGTATATATTTCTAGTCGTGGCACTGAGAAGAGGGTTCGAGTTATTGCTTCTTCTCTTTTGAATTTCCAATGCATTCTTTAGGTATGTTTGAAGTCGCATTCGGATTCATTACAACTTCTTTCTTCATTGATTCGGTTCGAATTTTCTACCATCTTTACAAAAGATGTATAATTCTTTTGCAATATTTTGTGGTTTTTATAAATGTTTTGATGGAATTAAAAAAAAAACTTGCAGATGTTGCAACTCTACAAGCTTATCTTACTCCATTGGGTTCTCAAAGTACCATCATCCATTCTAAATTCTTACAAATCCCATCGAGACAACAACAATCGGGCTTCTCTAACCATTTAAATCTCTCTAAATCCAACAAAATCGACGAAGCCATTGTCACATTGTCTTCACCGTCTGATTTCTCTACTCCCGAGGCTTACACAGACGTTCTTCATGCTTGTATCTCCGCTAAATCGCTTCACCATGGCAAAAAAATCTGCTCTTTGGTTCTAAACGACCCTCGTCTCCGTCACGAACCTAAACTGCTGAGCAAACTCATCACCCTTTTCTCTGTTTGCCGCCGATTGGATCTCGCTAAGAAAATCTTTGACGATGTAAACGATTCGACTTTTCTTACTGAGGAAGTTTGTGCAGCCATGGCGATTGGGTACTCTAGAAACGGGTTACCGAGAGAGGCTTTGCTTGTGTTCGTGGATATGTTGTGTAGTTTCATTGATGCAGGGGATTTTTCGATTTCCGTTGCGTTAAAAGCTTGTATTGATCTGAAAGATCTTCGGGTTGGTAGAGGAATCCATGGTCAGATTGTCAAACGGAGGGAGAAGGTTGATCAGGTGGTGGATAACGTTCTCTTGAAGCTTTACATGGAACGTGGTTCGTTCGAAGATGCACGCAAGTTGTTCGATGGAATGTCTGTGAGAAACATTGTTACTTGGAATTCTTTGATTTCGGTACTTAGTAAGAAAGTTAAGGTTCATGAGATGTTTAATCTGTTTAGAAAGATGCAGGAAGAGAGAATTGGGTTTAGTTGGGCGACTCTCACGACGATATTGCCTGCTTGTTCACGTGTCGCTGCTCTTCTTTCCGGGAAAGAAATCCATGCGCAGATTCTTAAATCGAGAGAGAAGCCTGATGTTCCATTGCTTAATTCATTGATGGATATGTATGGGAAGTGTGGGGAAGCTGAATACTCTCGGAGAATCTTTGATGGGATGTCAAGTAAGGATTTGACTTCATGGAACACAATGCTAAACTGTTATGCAGTCAACGGAAATATCGAAGAGGTAATACACCTGTTTGATCGGTTGATAGAGTCAGGAGTCGCACCAGATGGGATTACCTTTGTTGCTTTGTTATCGGGGTGTAGCGATACAGGTTTCACGGAATATGGTTTAAGTTTGTTTGAACGCATGAAAACCGAATTCAGAGTTTCACCGGCCTTGGAGCATTATGCTTGTTTGGTTGACATCTTGGGCCGAGCGGGTAAAATCGAAGAAGCGGTCAAGGTGGTAGAAATGATGCCCTTTAAGACAAGTGCATCCATTTGGGGATCTCTGCTCAACTCTTGCAGGCTCCATGGGAATGTGATAGTGGGAGAGATTGCAGCAAATGAGTTGTTTGTTCTCGAACCTCATAATCCAGGGAACTATGTTATGCTTTCTAACTTATACGCTGATGCAAAGATGTGGGATAATGTCGATAAGATCCGAGACATGATGAAACAAAGAGGGATCAGAAAAGAAGCTGGTTGCAGTTGGGTACAGGTTAAAGATAAGATTCAAATCTTTGTTGCAGGAGGTGGATACGAGTTTCGTAATTCAGATGAGTATAAGAAAGTATGGACAGAACTACAAGAAGCAATTGAAAAATCCGGTTATTCGCCGGATACAAATGTGGTGCTTCATGATGTTGATGAAGAAACAAAGGCTATTTGGGTTTGTGGACACAGCGAGAGACTCGCGACTACCTACTCTCTAATTCACACCGGTGAAGGGGTTCCAGTTAGGGTTACCAAGAATTTGAGAGTATGTGCAGACTGCCATTCATGGATGAAGATTGTATCGCAAGTAACTGGGAGAGTCATAGTCCTTAGAGACACAAAGCGATTCCACCATTTCGTTGACGGCATCTGCTCATGTAAAGACTACTGGTGACTGGAAAAGTATAAGTGAGTAGTAAAAGAATCGAAAAAGACTAGAAATTTTATCGGAAGATGGGACGCCGCGAAAAGTGCTTGAGCTTGATGGCACAAAAAAGTGCTCATAGACGAAGCAATGCAATTGATTAAAAAAAAAAAAAAAAGTTATTGGCACTAGGATTTAGATAGGGTTGGGTGATTTTAAAAGTATGGAGATTTGTGAAATTTGTAGATAGATTTGTTAAATTTATTGAGTTTTGTGTATTTAATAAATCTATGAAAAAATTGTATTTTAAAAATTTCAAGAATCTCATGTATTTTGTTAAGATTGTGAAAGATTTGTTTAGTGAGTAAAATTGTTTCAATCCATGTCCCAATAACAATGGATTTGATTAAAATTAC